CAGAATGGTCAGACAGGAAAAAACCATGCCTTGGAGCAAAACCTCAGTCCCATGCCTCCCATGTCTCTTTGCTTCCTGACTCAATACTTGTGTACAGCAGGAAGAGACTGTCTGACACAAAATGGGGTCTACTGTAGGATTTTCAAATAAAATGAAATTTTGAATTAGGAAAAAACATCCCAAAGAGTTTTATTCTCACTACATAGGTTTTTGGTCTGTGTGTTTGCTTCCCATGTACTAGCTAACCTGAAGCAGAAGACACTTGAACTGCCAGTTCTGCCATAGTAATCACTGAGCTGCCCACTACAATTATCACTGTGCATCTGGAAGGAGAACACAAGCAGAAAAACCTATCTGGCAGCAAAGAACAAAATAGCTCTGCTCCCCTGTACCACCAAGCACTCCCCACTCCTTTAGGAGGAACCATTGCTAATTCCTCTTATAATTCCTTATCATGAAAAAGAGAGAAAGGCCAGAAACCCCTCCTAGCCAGGAGAAAGCTGCTAATTAAAACTAAGCAGGGAATGTCCTAGCTCAGGCCACATCCTCAGGAGCTTCTCCGGAGTTCAGTCAGTTAAAATTCACTGCTCTACAACAGAAGCCTGTTGAAGCAAGTTCCAGATAAAAGCTGATCAAGTACCTTGACATTTGACTGTACAAAGGTGTTTCAGTGATTCTTCAAGGGTGAAGAAAGACCACTTTCACAATGTTCTATCTTGCTGAAAAGCTTGACCCAAAGCCAAGGAACGGGTCTGGGCCCAGGTTAGCTTAGTGGTACGGACTTGGCCCCAGAAAGGCTTCTTCTTGTCCATCCAGGACTTCATCTTCCCTTTGTTTCCTAGACCGCCTGGGGATTTCAGCTACCTTCCCTATTCACCTTGTGATGATACACATGTGATGGAAAGCAAGAAGAAAGAGAATCCTGGGAATTAGTGACACGATTCTGACTGGCTTCTGCACTGCAGATGCACAAAAGCTAAGGGAAGAGCTTGTGCAAGCCAGAAGCCTGAGCCTAATGAGAAAAAAGTACCACAGCTGGTATGGTTTGAGGCCAAGTGGAATGTTTGAGCTTTCTTCACCCTGGTTGACCCCAGCTATGCATGTGTTTAACATAATTCCTGAGGGTGAAAAAATACAACATGCAAAAGACCAAATGATATTACAATCTTTTTCACACAAAGATAGTATAGTGTTGTACTCATTAAACAAAATATACAGTAAGTGATCTTTTTGCATAATCTTGGAACAAGAATAAAGGAAAACTGAATTGCCAATTGATGCTGCCATTTACTGTGGTTTCTATTCTATTTCATAAGAATCATGAAAACTGTAGTTGATCCATGTAACTTTTTTATATTTCTATATCTGGAAAAATTTTCCAAGTGCAGTAAAATAATGCACAATCAATCTGTAACACAGAGTTGGATGGTTGCATACGTCAAAAGAATCAACCAAAGCCAAAAATACCAACATCATTAAATTTAAGTAAAGACGCCTTAAGCTCTGTGTTGTAAAAAGTTTCCTCAGGGCAAACCTGACAGGATGGGCGAAAATACTAAAGAAAAATCTAAGCAAGTCTAATTTACTAAAGGACTGAAGCGAAATGGGAATACTGGAAAAGAGCTCAAAAAAAATTAT